GAATGAGAACATTGAAAAGTAACTTTTTGAAAGTGCAAAATCTTTCCAAAATGTAGTTGCTCAGGACAGACACAGCATTGTGCAGGAATGGGACTCTGCCTGCATCGTGCAGTTTTGCAGGGCTGTGGTGGAAAACAGAGGTGTGCCACTTCACAGGAACACAGTTTTTTAACAGGCAGAAATGTAGGTAGAATTGTAATCCAGGTGCTCACTTTTCCCCTCTGAAGATTTGTTAACTCCTTGTTTTGAGTTCTGTAGCCTTCAAAGGAGGCATCACATAATGCCACTGAAAACTGGGCTGTCACTCATAAACCCTTCCCTTAGTAAAGCATATTTTAACTGCATGAAGCTAAAATAATTCTTCCCTGAAGTGAGCAGATACTTTATGTACAAATACACCAGCAGCTGTGACTTTTTCCAACATGAAAGCGTCCTCCTGTCACATCTCAGCAAAGCTATTTCACTTGATCCAAAGTTTAAAAAAAAAATTTAAATGAAGCCAATCTGCATAAATTGAAAGAGAAGCTGCTGAATAAATAGGGTGAGGCAGGTATGCAGAGAAAAACCAAACTAAGATGGAAGAGAATGGTTGTGATCCAAAAAAAGATGAATCTTGTTTCTTTAACTGCTTCCAGAAACTTCCTTTGTAAATTGTTGAGCCAGAGCTTAGAAGTATAAAATGGAAGCTGAAAATATCCAGGAACACACACAGGCTCTTTTTTAAAATAAGAATAAAATGGTAGCAGTGTGACAGAGATACTTTTTTACATGCAGGTTTCTGAGACAAAAAGTACAGAAATGTAGTGTGAGATTCTGGCACAGACTAACCAAGTAAGATAATTTAGGTAGGGACTTATAGAAGAAACGTAACTAGGATCACAATGTGTCCCTGAAAATCAGGATTGTCCTTTAATGCCTCTGTTTTACAAAAATCAGTGCTTTGCCCTGTTTTTTGTAAATTCCTGCAGACTGACCACCTCCAGAAAGAACTGCTAGGCATCTGAGTAGTGGCATTAATAGCAGCTGGCTGAGTGGATATATGACCCATAAGGCTTCCCAATTAACTCCCCTCTCTTCTGCATCAGACCTTATTCATTATTAGTAGTAGAAGAAGTATTACTGAACCACGTAGGAGCCCAAGTCTTGTACCAGGACCTCATTGTGCTCGGGGCTGTACAAACACAGAACAAAAAGACAGTCTCTTCCCCAGATTCCTGTCTAAATATAAGACAAGAGACAACAGATGGAGATAGACAGACAAGGAAACAATGGTACTGAGCCTGCATACATGCTTCTCCTCACCTCCCCTGAACAAGAAGTAAGCTTTACATTGTGTAAGGGCACAATAGGTCAAAAGGAAGTCTGATTTGTTGTCTTGCAGGATAGTCAATAAAGGCCATATGTTTTCCTTTGAAGGCCTTCTTTAAATAGCATTCAGGGCTAAATTTAAAAGAAACAAACATATGTGAAAACATACACCGATGTAAGAGAAGTTGCCAATATTTTGGAAAATTTAACCCCTAGTGGCTTTCATCCATTGTTCCTCAATTAAGATTCTGGGTTTCACCCCAGTTCTGGCAAAAAATAAAATAAAGAGAAAGATTCTGCTTTGGCTACAGCTGCTGTAAAGGTCCCTGGTTTGCATCCTTCATTCACAGCTCATTAATACCACTGAGAATGTCGTTACTACCTTGTGACATGGTCTGTATACTCACAATGGAAAATGACTAGAAATCATATACTGTACAGTAAGTAAATATGGTAACTAATCTTCCAGAAGGTGCTGCTGCTGCACATACAATTCCTGACATAGACTGATGAGCATTATACCGTGTAAATTGAAGATGACAGGCTACTATGTCAAAAAGAATCCTATGAACATTAATTCACACACACTTGCACCTGCCAATGGCACCACAGCATCAATTAAACTGCGGAAATGACTACATAAAATAATCAGAGGCAGTATCCATCTTTTATAAAACTATTTTATTTTTTAACAAAGGCTTGCTCATTTGGTTTCCTCCTACCCCTTTAATTGGTAAAGCAGCCCTCCAGATCTTGGTGGGAAAAACTGTTCCTGGACAGAAACACCCCATCCTCTATACTAAGGCATATCCTCACATCCTTACAAATGTTCTTGAGATTTTGCAGGCTACCCTAACCAGCTATTGCTGCCAGGGGCTCTTGAAGACTTGTATTAAATCCTGATTTGGATGCTAGACAGATCTTCTGAAGGCAGAACTCCTGGAGAGTAGGTATGATGGGAAATTTTCCTTTTGTCTTGTGTGAGGGGAAAAACATTGAGACTCCTGACTAAACCAGTCATTTAGGACAGGCAACAGTATTGCATTAATTAAACAAACCAATTAAGGTAGACTCTAAATAAGATGTCTGAGAAGGGGTAAAAAGAGATGGAAGGCTCAGACACCTCCAGGAAACTGAACTGTGGACAGTTTCTTTTCTTGATTTAGTTCTAGGTTTTGGTAAAAGTGTATAGGGAATAATATAGCCCATGACTCTGCACAGTGCTACACTTTATTTTTAGGTCACTCAAGCTGTGAATAAAGCAAGAAATCCTGGAGAGGGTTTTATTTGTATTTTTCAAACTTGGCCTCCTAGAAAATATTTCTGTCCAACTCTGCTGATGTGTGCTTTCCATAGGCCTCTATATTTGGTTCCATTTATTTTATTACAGGAAATTATATTGATTATGGATATGGGAAGATACATAGCAGCTGCCATAAGTCACATTTAAGGGAAAGAGAAGGGGGATTTGAGGAAGCCTTGACAAAATATCAAGTTGAAAATGATCAGTTAAGAGTATCCTATGTGATAAGGAAAGGGTGACTGGGCCCCTGGCCTGATCTTGATGCACTTTAGTTCTTGTGACATAACCCTTTCCTTCATATCTGTGACTAGCATAAGGTTCCATTGAGTTTTCCTTGGCTCTTTTTCATAATCATATTTACTGGTCTAATTTATTGCCTTCTGTGAAATTCTCCATTGATTTTAATTTGTAGCTAGTTCTTTCCTATTATTATTATTAATAATAATAATCAATAAAAAGGTGAGGTTAATTTTGTCAGCTTCATGTAGAGGTATAATTACTAGGGATGGGTGAATCAGGTAGTACAGAAATCTAATTGTCAGGTTTGAAAAGGAAGAAGCTGGGATTGCCTGCTGTAGAATTCTAAAATATAAGAGGGAGTAATGTCATGACAACATCAGAAAGCAAAAGGAAGACTGGTCTCGTGTCTAAGACACTGGTTTGAGAGACATGATGTTAATTAAGTACAATAACTTATAATAAAAAATCTAAATAACAAAAGCAAGAAGACAAGAATAACTTCCATCTCCATATGTTAATACAGCAGAGTAAAGTTGTCAGAAAACCTTTATGCCTCAGTTTTTCCCAAACCTCAGCCTGCAGATCAGTGGAGGCTGCATGAATCAGTTTCATCTACCCTTTTTCAGATTTCAACAGTCTCTACTGTCATGAATAGCAATGATGGATGATGCAAAACAAAGAAAACTTAGTAGTACATAAACTCATGGTTTGGGCAAAAGTGAGAGTGGTATTGCTAGTAAATTGTATAAGCATATCCTGGTTTACATACCATGCATACGAAACCTAAATAAAATAATCTGACTCTGCGATAGCTAAAATTACATCCACAGTTATGACTATGTTGTGTGTGGATGACATTTTTTTGGAGCCACGGCTGCATGTACACATAAGAGTATGTTCAGTCTGATAATATAGATTTTATTTGACATAGCTGTCTATATATATGAGAATACCGTCTTTTTTAAGACACTTCTTTATATAGGACCAGATATGAAGGTCCTATATGTAGGGGCATGGAGGTGGGGAGAGAGAACATGCAAGGAGCCTCCCCTCACTTTTGGCGCTCCTGAGTGCCCATGAAAGAGTCATTACAGCTGGGCTCTTGGAAGCGTACCTGTGGGCTCAAGGAAGTGCAGAGACGTCTTCGATGTACTCCCAGTCACAAGGCAGGCAATGGCCTAAAGGGGGCAGAAAAGAGGCTGGGCCGTGACCCTGCTAGGTCCACTGGATCTGATCAGACTATCCCATACTGCAGTTTGCCCAGTGCCCCTGTGCACAGGGACTCTCAAAGCACAATCCCTCTCTGAGCCTTTCTGGAGGGCAGTACAGCTCTCTATTGCACCTTACTCAGGCCAGTGGATAAATGCTACAACTTAGCATATATGTGTAAAATTACTGCGAAAACAAAACATGCTCCAATTCCATAAGCTGGAGGATGTGTTGGCTGGCTATCAGCTAACACCTTATTTTCCATCCTATCTGCAGCTTATGAGGACCCCTGTTCAGTTCTAACCTCGTTTATTAAAACCTCACTTTTGACTCTCTTTTATTAATTCTTAGTTTTCTTTTAATTTTTCATATCTCATATTCCTCTCTTTTTTGCCTTAGAACAGTCTGTGCTTTGTTCTGTAGCAGCATGTGGTTCAGACTGATCCTTGGAAGCAATGTACTGGTATGATTCTTATTGTCAGTCACCAGAAGGAGGAATGACTCCTGATTTCTCTGGAGATCAATACCTTGCACACAAGCTGGCATAGCTGCAGATTTGCAGTGCTCGTGAGGGCAGCCCTCTTTCCCATACTGGCCACAAGCTCTAACTTGGTTGGTACAATGGGCTTTGTCCCACTAAAGACGAGGTAACATTTGACTGTCAAAGTAAGGTTTTAATTTGCTTTTTGGCTGCAATCTGTCACTAAATATGGTGCAGTTTCAACAACGATTAATTTCAAGTTATTTCTGAATCACTGATATTTATTAGGGGATCAGAGTTTATTTTTTAAGTACAGTCTCTTTCCAAACACTGTAGGCATACCAGCAGCATAACAGGGATGTAATTACTTGTGAGGGAAATGTGTTTGTTATATAAGGTTTCAGAGTAGCAGCTGTGTTAGTCTGTATTCGCAAAAAGAAAAGGAGTACTTGTGGCACCTTAGAGTCTAACCAATTTATTTGAGCATAAGCTTTTGTGAGCTACAGCTCACTTCATTGCTCTTCTAGATTATTTAAATTATGCATCCATACTATAAAAGCCTTTTAAATAAATAGTAAATAAAAGCTATTACATTTTTATATAACTAAAACCCACATGTAGTAAATGGTGTAATATAATTACTGCCTAATCTGTTAAATTAACCAGTTTTATAAGTGAGTAAATCTGCTGGGTGTTCATATATTGCAAGGCACATAACTTTGTGATTATATCGTTAAGGTTGAGAATATATTCCCTTTTAAATCAATGTTAATAGAATGTTTGTTAAAGTTGAACTTTAAATTTCCTGAGAATCTGGCATCATATTACCATTCAAATGCCAACTTTAAGTCTGCCCTTATACCCCCATCCATCTTCCACCCACAAGACACTCTACAACATCTACATTTCCAACATGGGCCCCAGATGCTAGTGCTTTTTTTTTTTTTTAATTTCTCCTACTTTCCTTAGCTGATAATTGCATGTTATAACAACATAGACATACTATACAATAAATTTTTGCTAAATTTAACACTTGTTCACATTTTCCTATTGGTCTTCCTTTTCAATAAAAGCCGCGTTTTGCCCAACTGCGCGTGCTCTACAAAACAGCAGTTGAAAATCCTACATTCCTTTAAGAAGTAGTGCCCTGAAAAGCTGTGGTATGAAAATTAGCATTCCAGGCCTGCACCAATTTAAGTAAATGAAAAAACTTCCATTCACATTAATGGGAGCAGGAGCTGGATCCAAGCAAGTGCCAAGAATTTTAACATTAACATATGCACCTTTGTAGGTATATTGGATTGTCCATCACCACCAATAGCAATTCCAGTTCCAGAGTGAAAGCAGATGGAAAGTCCATCTATGAAGCAAAAAGGGTCTTTTAAGTTTGCATTTTCTATTTCATATCCTGTAAATACAAATACAAAACACATTAGTTATGATTCAAAATTACCATGTACAAATATATTTGATGAGTGAAACAGATAAAAACCTATGATATGAAGTTGTACTATGCTGACATATACTCAGAAGAATCATCTGTTTCATATCAGCTTAAGAAATAAAGAACAGATCTCTGTATTCTGTTCTTTGAAACTGCTATCTGTGATCAGGCTCCTCCCAGTCTTGTGGTATTTTTCCATTCAATATTTTCCTGTTGCAAAGAATCACCTGAAGTGAAGGAAAGAAGACAAAATTAGGTAATTTAATTTCATCTTGACTCCCTTTATTAATGCTGATGAATCTTATTATTTAACATTGATATAATGGTAGTGCTCTAAGACTCAGATCAGGGTCAGGGCCCTGTTGTGCTAGGCGCTATACAAATATAGAGCTAGACATCATACCTGCCCCTGGATAATCAGTTAAACAAATTCAGACCTGCTGACTGGTTTTGAAAACTTCATATGTGATTTTCAATTTCTGTTATCCAAGGTTAAAAATTCTCACAGAACTACCTTCCTGTCTCTTACACTATCTACTATGGGGTGGGGGGGGGAACAAAACAAAGTAGATATTGAGTACTGTGCATAATGCTGTAGGCTCTGCTGTTGCAGTCCCCAATTTTGGTCTCGAGCAATAAGCACTTTTATAAATCAATTTAATATTGAGCAGTCTAATGCTAGACCCTGAGATGTAAAATCTTGCAAATAAAATATAATAAATTTAACTTGCTTTACTAGTGCTTCTTGGCACATTGTGGACCAAAATGTTAATGGAATAAGCAAAATCTAAATTATTGAGCCATTTACAAAAATATGCATTTTTTTCATGCTCACTTATATTGAAGGAAGATAATAGCTATTTTACTGTTTTGCCACTACAGTTATACTTAGATGTAGATTTCAGAAAACAAACACATTGTCCCTTTGATTCTAAAATAAACTTGCAAGAGCCTTAGGAAACAAATGTCATTTCCAAATAAAGTCACCAGGAGTGAAAAATCACTACAAAACTGTAGGAGTCTCTACATGATCCTGCATCAGTTAAACCCCTATGTAGAAGCAGGTTTCAGAGTAGCAGCCGTGTTAGTCTGTATCCGCAAAAAGAACAGGAGTACTTGTGGCACCTTAGAGACTAACAAATTCGTTAGTCTCTAAGGTGCCACAAGTACTCCTGTTCTTTTTATGTAGGAGCAGTTTCTTCTCAACTAACAGAGCTGTTCACTTGAAGTCATGAGAGGACTATTTAATTCTAGTTCATGATCCTGACTAGTTTGGACTTTGGTCTTGTACACCATAATCTAGCAGTTATAATCAATGCACCTTGCTGTTCTTAGGTTCTGTCATGGCCCTAAGTATCCTAGAAGCTTTTGGTCCTATTCAGCTCATTGTTCAGCTTCTGAAGGAGACTTAGTCTCCCAGGTATGTTTGATTTTTTTATAGGAGAAAATACCTTCTCAGCAGGCAAAAAGAATTGGAAAAAATAAGTTTCCCCTTTCAAGATGTAGTCTGTTGTCTCTACTTATACCAGCAGGAAATTGCATGTGTAGCTTTCTTAGGCTGGTTAATAGGTCCAACCCTAATGGCCCTCCAAACAAGCTCTTGTGAAGGTAAAAAGGGCACACCAGGGTGCAGGATTGCTGTAGGCTCATTTGTCACTCTCAGAAAGTTACTACTTCTGTCCCTTTAAATTTCAGACAGCTGCTGTCCTCTGGCACTTGCCTAACTATTTGCATTGCGAACTATACACATTCAAGCCTGTAGCTTCCTGTGTTTGCATGTCAATTATGCTATTAGTATTTCTGCCTGCCAATGTGACATGGTAAAGATGTGCTTCTCTTAGCATCTTTTCTTAGAAATTAAATTAAAAACCAAAGCTCATATTGTGTTGATGAAGCTAGCTAAAAATCCCCTATATTTGACTCCATATGGGGCATTAATCTGTCTTGGGGAAACAGAAGGAATAGCCAGCACAGCTGTAGTTAGAATAAAAACCACAATTATATTAGAGGAGTTGTAAAGCATTAAGAACATTTCTTCAAAAGGCTCTTTTTTTTTCCTGATTACAAAGAACAGTGTTATGACAGAACCATTTTCTCTACTAAGGGGATTCACCATTATCTGACATTTTATCAGCTGCATCAAAATAATTAAATCCAACATTGTTGTTGTAGCTTTCAAGTCCAATTTTAACAGATAAGTCACATTCCGGCTATTTGAATCTAGAACCGTTGTCATTCAGCAAAAAACAGCATTTTAGAATTACACGTTAACTGGACTATCTAGCCTACACACTTTCTTAACTGGAAATCAGAAAGTCCGTACAAACACAAACAGCTATAAGAGATTATTTTTTATCATTTATTAACTGCTGACATTGTAGAGATTGAGAAATGGCATGTAGAAACTGATGAAAAGACTGAGAAAGGGAATATATAGGAATGAACAATTGTTTTGGGGTAAATAAAGGTGAAAGGTGAAATGGAAGAAAAAATGTAAAAGATGAGGTGATGTGGTGAACAAGATAGTGGCTGGTGGTAGACTTGTGGTGTTTGTTAATAGTAAGGAACATTTTCCCATGCCATTGTGCCTGGTGCTGCAGGTTTCTTAATGTATCATTTGGGGTACACTCTACCACTCTGTAGGGACTATTTTGTATTTTCATTTTATCTCTGATGGATAGAAGCCAATGTACTGAACTGAAAATTATATTTCCATTTGTTTAGGAGAGGGTTCAGGACATGGATTGCAGAAAGTGTTGAGCCTCTGCCAGCCAGTATCTGTGAGCATTCTAGCTTTTAATTTTTCCTTTCATTTTTAATGATAATTCTATTCATATTTACAAACATATGTCACGTGGATAATCAAACAGAAAAAGAGAGTTAAAAACCCACAGAGAGTGAAAATAATTCATTGAAAAAAGAAAACAAAATGGAGTTAGGAAAAAGTAAAAGGAAATGGATGTCTGGATGGTGCAACACTTCCTTGCAGTTATGATCATGCATATATTTCTTCACCATTATATTTCCAAAAATTCTGCCCGTAGCTCCTGAAACCATTAAACTGATGTATCAGCCTCTCGAAATAGGTTATTTCTTTATGCACCGAAACAAATTCTTTAATATCGGTAGATCTGGATTTCACTCTTTTCATAGTAAAAACTTTTTCACACATTATGGACCAAATTTATGATGCCTGTAAAACAATGCAGCTCCATTGAGGTCAAGAGAGCTCTGCCAGTTTACACCTGCTGAGGGTCTGGCCCTGTAGCACTATCTGCAATTCACTGCAGTTGTGATGTGTTCTGAATTTCAGTGAAATCATGCAAGAGTATTCGGGCAAAATTTTGTAATCCTTGCATTTGCTCATGCTAGTATCCATGTTGTAGTAAACAGGAGTACTTGCATGAGTAAGGATTTCAGAGTTGGGTCCTTAGTTTTCTGGACTGAGAAATTACTGTTCCTCTAGCGTTTCCATGATCTGTACCATTTTGTGCTAAACAACCTATATTGGCAGGTATGTCCACAGCACATGCCCAATATCAGAAATGTCTGCTCAATACCTCTGCAGTAGATCATCCTCAGGACATGTTTTAACAATCTACTTTGAATCCAGTACATCATTTTGAACTAGACTCTCTCCAGCTAAATTCTGAGGTGTTTGCAGAAATCTTTCCCACTATTTGCTAGTGAAAGTTATATTTAAAGCAATTTCATATTTAAGTCTCCTATTAATCATGTTGTTGAGTATATTCATTACAAAACTAAGTTATGTGCTTCAGAAACTGAGTTCCCCCAAGCACTTTTGTAACAGTGCTGAACAAAAGACTACTGTCTAGTGCAAGGTTGTATCTGTGACGACATAGCAAAATCTGAAATATGATGAAGAGGGGTGTATTCATAATATGTTCATTTTGCAAGTTTGATCTAAAGACATTAATAGATTGTGAATTGCTTAGTCCCAACAGTGATCTCATTGGAAGTAGTCTGGAAAGAGACTTCTGGAGAACAACTCAGGAATCACTGACAGTGCAATTCTAATGGAGTTGAATTTTCAGTGAACAGGAGGGAAGTTTGGGGGTAGAACTGCTGCCTGTTTTATGTGAAGAAAGAATGTTCTCCACCAATGGAAGAAACCCAGGAACCCTAAAGAAGATCTTCAGAATGCTTTTTCCACAAAAGCTCTCATGGAGGAAGGTGATTCACCATCTGATAAGGATTAATTAATATTGTTCAAAGATAATAGTAAGGATTCATATTTGCCAGAATGTTGCCATTGATTATGCTTTACAGTGTTTCTTCCCCTCTATTTTCCCCATTATCTTTTTCTTCTTTTTTGGAGTGGCGGGGGTGGGGAGAACTTTCTTAGATAGGAATGTTTCTGGATTGAAAAATTGTGTATGTATATATACTCGAGTCAACACTAGATGAGTTTCTTCTGCTTTATTTCTCATATACTAGCTGGCGTAATTGTTGGCTATGAATAATATCTATTCTTCAACAACATATTCCCACTGCCCCTTCCCCTGCTGTTAAAATGGAGGGTTTAATGATAGCTTGTTTTAATTATGTTACTCCACCCCTGCTGTTAATAAAGTTGAATGGAGATTTAGCCACTTTGGTGTTTTAAGATATATGGCATCTAGCTCACACAGGGACTGATTATCCTGGTATTTTGTTACTGTGCCATACCAAATATGTGCACTCTTAAAAGATGTGGTTTTCACAGGATTAAATATTGTTATTCCTAAAATCCTGATTATATCTATAGTGTGATGAAAAGTTGAGGTGAATGAAGGCTGGCTGAGAGGAACATGCAGATATACATTATTTTATGGGATTAATCACTTGCACTGGGGCAAACTGATATTACCAGTGAGTAGAAACAATAACTCTGATCCTCAGATGTGGCCAAGGGACCTGATCCTACACTGCATTATACCATTTTTTAGGTCAGTGGAGCCATACCAGCAGAAAACTGCTGTAATGGAGTGGAGATTCAGGCCCAAGGAGCACAAACTGGAATTCAGGAAGTGGGTGGGGGAGGGGGGGAGTGGAAAAGTAGTCTACGCAAACAGATGCCAGTGGGCCCAAGAGATTGTTACTGGAGCTGGAGATTGCTGGAGCACAAGGAACCCCAGCTACACCTCATGTGCTGGCCTCAGCATGGAGTGGCATAGACTTTATTACACTGGCTCTCTACTTAATTTCTTAAACTATTAATAAATTG